CAGCAGGAAACTGCATGTTTAAAAACATTAATTGAATTTTGTTTAAATTGTATTTAGTCATCAATGAACAGCCCTCCCTTTTACTTCAGCTCCTATGTACAGTAATGCACTGCTTGGTTTGTGCATCTAAGTGAATACAAGGAAGAATTAAGAATTATGACTTTGATTCTTCTGATGTTTGTTCTTTTGTTTGCTTGCTTCCCACAGCAAAAGCCTGGAGAAAAGCCCATCCCAGGTAAAACATTCTTATTATCGAAAGATTTTAAAAATAAGCTATATATTGCTGTGTTTTTCAGTTGCCTCATGAGCTCCTTTCTGCTGCTACTGAGGTGGTTAGTCTGGTACTGCATGGTTAGGCAAAGTGCTAGATAAGAGCCAAGGTCAGTGTGGTGACCAGCATAAAGTTGAAAAATGTGTATTTTACTCCCTAGCCAGAAGATATCTTGCCCTTTCCGTCTGCAAAAACTGTATTGTCTGTAGGCCCAAATGCAGGGAAGGCTCTTTGAAAGCAGGAGGGGGAAAGGGTCAGGAGAATGATTAGGTCAGTCCTGCATCTTAGTGTCTTTGCTTGGTGCTACAAGCTCAGGAAAGCGCGTGAAGACTTTGAGTTGATTCTAAGCAGCCTTGAAACAGGAAAAGACTAAACTACCTTTTCAGTGCATTGCACTCTTTAACCTGTATATGGTTGAAGAGTGTGAGTTTAGGTATGAGTTTGGTCCTTGATTGTTCTTAGAGGTACTGATTAACGTTACCCCTCTGAAATCAACCAGACTTTCTAAATAGCCTGGTCAGTTTTTTAGAACTCAAAATTGGAGGTTTAACAACTTTGTTTTGCTCTTACTTCTTAAGTGGATCAAATCAAGAAGGAACCAGAACCAGCCCCTGAACCTATCAAGCCAGAGGAGAAAGAGACTGTAAAGAATGCTCAACAGAGTGCTGGCACTAAAGGACCTCCTGAAAAACGAATGAGACTCCAGTGAAGGAAACTGTTACACATCTGGATTAGTCAGTACCTGAAAGTCTACAGAGATTCTTTCTTCCTTTCCTTAATATTTAAGCTCTTCACCAAGACTGTGACAATTCAGGGATTGAAGTCCCTACAGCAGCTCTTTCTGTAGAAACTTACTGTAGAAACGTCAGTGGCAGGATGTGAGCTGCTTCGAAGAAAGTATTTTCAGTTTTCATTCTGTTTTGGACATTGACTTCTGAGAATGGTCTTTACTTCAGGGTATGTTTTTGCAGCCTCCTGAAATCCTTACGTTCTCTTGTGTCCCTTGTCTTGGTTTCCTATGTAAAAAGAAAAACTTTTATAAAAAGACTTGTTCTTGGTGAATTGCATCCTGGGTGCTAGGTTACATTTCTTAAACTCTTACTTCATTAGTGAATATGTCCTGTGTGCTGGCAGTAGTCTTTTACTTGGATATCAGAACATGTCATGGGCTGTTTTGAGGAAGACACGTTAGTTGAACTGTCTGATTAAAAATTGCTGGGCCTTTAGTGTGTTTGGGATACAGATGGAAGATGTGGTAACTGGAGACTCAAATCCATGTAATGGCATGTCAAACTGCCCCGAGTCCCTAAACGTTCTCAGCTGCTCATTTTAAAGATAAATGACAGCTAAGCTGCTTTCTTACAATAAAAAGCTAGTGTCTGTCAAAGGGATATATGATGACATAAAACAGGCTAAAATATCTTGCTGTTATACACTCAAAAGTGTCTACCTTTCTTTCTTTCATTGTAACTCAAATGAATCGATTGCATACTGCTTCCTCTGTGCTTCTGGCATGTTCTTGCTCCATCTGATCACCTTGATTACTTGTCTGCCTTTCAGACCTGAGGAGGTAGGGAAGGGGAAGAGAAACATCACTGACAGCTGTATACTCTGCATATTTGCTATGGTGCTTATACAAGGCACTTCTAGGCTTACAGAGATTTTTAGATCAAGGCACTTCTAGGGTTACAGAGATTTTTAGATATCATCCATTACTAAGAAATTATGACTATTGACTTGTTTTGTTTTTTTTTTAATGTAGAAATAGTGGAGCCAGTTTTCTTAACACCTCCCCCTCCCCGCCCCAATTGCTTGCTTTGTTGCTTACTTGTAATATCCTCTAGTCAATAATAGAGTGAGGAAAAAGGGCTCTAAATAGCAGACAAATATAAATAAGAAAGAAGACTAAAATACATTCAGGCTGCTGTGTCAAACTTATTTTGAGGTTATAGGAAGGATTTTCACCTGCTTCAGTAACTGATGAAGAGCTCTGACTGGGTAGCTATTGAGTAATGGAAAGACCTATGTACCTTTTGTCCTGTAATCCAAGGCTGTAACAAATATGTAGATAAACAAGTTGGGGGGCGGGATGGGCAAAAAGGGAGGAGGGCAAAAAAAAAAAAGCAAAGTTGGAGCAGTTATTTCTCCAAATGTTGATGGAAGTGCGTAAGCTAGTATGAAGTGTTAAATCAAGTGAAGATATAGTTTTGAGCATTCCAGAATAATTGCTCTCAAATTGGTGGTATTCAGCCTGAATAATTACAATATAGTATGCATACATTTGGAACAAAAAGTTATGGCTTCTTTGCTGTATTAAAGGACTTCTCATGAGAACAAGGGGCCCAAGAGGCGCCATAAACTTTGACACTGGGTTGCTGAATTGTGGCAGAACCTCAGCAAGGAGTGGGACTGGTTAACCAGAGCTCTAAGACTCTTCCATTTCATTGGCACAATACTGAGTCAGAAATGTGTTACTTACAGCAGCAATGTATCACTTACAAATGTGTAGTTTGAGTGATATTTTGTTTGAGGAAATTTGTTTACAATCATACATAGCCATAGCAGGTATACAAAGTCAAACATGCATTAGTAAGCTCCAAGTGGAGTTTTGGGGGGGTTTTTTGTTTGTTTGTTTTCTGTGAGCTTCAGGTAATGCCCCTTCTCTTATACTGTATTATGATAGTTTTTAATTTCCAGATCAAACTATTTTATCCATAGGAGTCGTGTGTTTTTTGAGTAAATGCCCTGAGCAGTCCTCAGCTAACAAGAAACCAATCAGTGTTTTCTTTTTTTCTCTTAATAGTTTGGTATTTGATCCTGAGCTATTTCTGATGTGTGCTGTTCAGAACCTGCTCTGAAAACAATTACTAATTTCTTCCTTATGATGAATATCAAAGACGACCTCTTCTAGAATCTGATTCATTTCAGCCATAAGCACCAGTAAACACTCCAAAATACAGAGATTATCCACAGCTTGCAAATGGTGACTGAAACGTTAGAGATAGTAAAATACTTCCTCTGAGTGTCTGAGACATCTGGGGTACCACACTTCTTGGGGGGGAAAGTCCAGCATTAAGTTGTGCCTAACATGTTCAGTTTCAGCAATCCGTATTTCTGCAGATTAAACCTTTTTGTTTCTAGTGATTTGTTATCAGAGCCAAGATGCACAAAACAAGGAGCATAGGATTAAAGCTACATGCAAGGTATTTGATACTGCCATCATATCATGTAAGAACTGTCACAAGGGGAAAGAAATCTCACTTCCTTTGCAACTCAGATTTATTTCCAAAATAAGCCATGCTGTGTACCACAGAAGAGAGCAATCCTGTACAATAGAGAAAAAGCAAAGCCTGTGAAGAAGTGGCATCATAACATAGTAGCGTATGCTCATAAGGCAACTATGTGGAGAGCACAGGTAAAAGTTACTTCTGGCAATTCCTGGAGTGCTTGACTGCAGTCTAATCAGTAGATACCTGTTAAACAGATACCTTATGTAGACATTTTGTCTCTGTTTTTAAGGGTTCTCTATCCAGTCACAGCAGTTTGCTCTTAAATAGTTCTCCATAACAATATGTTTGCTAGAGTAGCGATTATTTTTAATAGTGGATCTTACTGAAAAATGCAAGCTCAGCATAATGTCAGTGGGAACAGAGGGCCTTTTAATGGAAGAAAAGGAAATCAACACAAGTCATCTCAGGAAATCTTCTTTGACTCCTGCTTTTAAATATCTTGTAGTTAAAATACAAGGGTTAACTTAGTGCATCAACTGTGTGTTCCAAAATGGTTAATAGTTGTAAGCAAGATAGGAATGTTGCTTTAGAAAGAAGCTAGCTAAATAGTCTTTTGTCTTTTGGAGGTGTAACTAAAATAATAGCTTCATTTATGCATCTCCGTTATTGTAGAATAAAGGTGGCAATTATGGACTTTTATTGTGCTTATAAACTTGACACAGATGTTTGCCTTTCTAAGAGCCTTCCCTTCTTTCATCCTTTCCTGTTTCATTTCTCTGACTCTCAGCTGTGAGGAGTCTCAGTTTTTGTTCTGTGGCTACATGTTTCAAGTTTACAGGCCTCCTATGCCTGCCTTCTTTTCCTTCAAACCAAAGCCTTAATCGCATTCACCCCTATGAGGGAAAGGGTGATCTCCAGAAAGGAGGAGTAAATAGTGAGGAATCTTGAGAATACTTGCTGGTTTCTTTGTTCAGAGTAATGTTCTTGGAAATGGTCATGGAGAAGAGAAAAGTAATAAGGTAGCTGGATTTCTATATAGTTATTCACATTACTAAGAACCTGTATGCTATTTGGGAAAACTTAAGCAAGAAAGCAGATTGATTCCTTTGTTTGTTTGTTTTAGGTTTGTGGGTGTGTTGGGGTGGGAATTAACTGCTTATACACCAGCAGCAGAAAGGTGTCTTACTTATTGCTAAAGGCATGTACAGCTGTGGTCAAAAAAGGAAGCTAGAACACATAATATGAACAAAGTGTTCCAGTCAGTAACTGGGCTTCACCTGAAATAAAGTATGTTGTACAGCTCAATGTCTGAAAAAGAATATTGTCAAAGTAGAATAGTTCAAAGACAGACAATAAAAATGAATAGGAGAATTTCCCTTATGAAGACCCTGGGAGTACTAAGATTGTAGTTCCTAAGAAAAAATGACACATGTAGAGACTTTATACAATTAAATGATGAGTGCTGTGAAGCATATGGGAAAGCAGAGAACTCCATTCTGTCTTGCAATACAAGAATATGGAGCTTAGCAGGGTTGCGTTTAAAATGAATTTTCTACTTCATGCTTCAGAGTTTGAGCTGATTTAAAGATGAGGTTGAAACCTGCTTGGGAGACTGTTCTCATATCTACCTGTCTTTAACAGCCTTTTTACTTTCTGCAGAAGCATCTGATATTGATTGTTGTCAGAGAGAGGGCATTGTGTAAGATGGACTTCTGGTCTGATCCAGTCTGTGTTAAAGTGCCAGCATTTAAGCTATTGAGAAGATAGAGAATGGCTTCCATGCGTGAAACAGTGAATTAGAATGTGGTAGTCTCTTCTGGGGGAGTGATCTCTTCATGACAAACAATTTTTCAGGAGTTGTAAAAAATGCTAATTGTATAAAAAGCAATGGGGGTGTGTTATCAATGAGAGTACCAGTTTCTTAGCAGCCACCTTCCAATGCTAAAGGTTTACCGTTCAAGGCAATAAGGGACTGAAATCTTTTCTCGCCCCATTACTTGATGACAAGATATTCCCAAATTACTTCAACAGTCAAGTGAACTTTGATATTAACTTACTTAAGTGGCATAATATAGATATACTCCAAGTAATTTACTGTCAAAAAGCTGTTCAGCAGCTATTCTCTATTAAGTAATGCTTTTCTGTAGATAAGCATCTTAAGACTTTTTCTCTCTTTGTCTATTATTTATGTAGTGTTTCTTAGTCTGGAGCCTGAGCATATACGTCCAAAATCCTTCCAAGAACATTCAGTGTTTGTAGTGTTTATAGAGGAAGGGCAGTTCCGAAATTGTCCTGTGTGGTGTTTTTGTTTTACATAAAGTTTTACTGTAGTGGTTGTACAGTAGAGCTATCACTTATATCTGCTTTTGCCCTTAGATAATAACCGATCAGATTTTAAAAGGGCTTTTCATGGCCTAAATCACAGGCTGGCAGGAGCCAAATGTGATCTGGAATTCTAATGAAAACATTCCTCTGACAGTCTGAAGGTGTATGTGTAAATATGGATATACATAGGTGAACATATGTATATACATGTATAGGGGTGTGTGTATATATATACACACACACATGTTTACATGCAGAAATCTGCCTAGATCATAGCAAGAGGACGAATCTTCTTGCCTCAGTTAATGTAAAGCTAATGCTATCTGAAATGCAATGGAAATACTGTCTTATTTTACTCTTTGAGTAAGATGCAATTAGGCTGTGCATCCTCTTCTCCACCCTGCCAAAACCTCATCTTTTGGTAACCTTTCCCTAGCAAGGAAAGTTGGATGTTATTATGAGGGCCAGATCATGTTGTTTGTCAAAGAAAACTGTACTTGGAGTGAGGTTAGAGGGGTAAGGAATGGGAGGAACAAGGTGAAAGGGAAGAGTTGAACTTTATTTTGAGACCTGGCGGTTCCCTAATTAAAACCAAAACCCGGTGACGATATGTTATGCAAATAGAACGTGGCTTTACTGAGCAGACAGATGGTACCTGAACAAAAGCTGATGGAAACGTGCTTATTCTGCTTTTTCAGTGGTAAAAGCATATGGTGATAATGAGGCATTTAAGACTACTTTTCTTGGAGGGGAAGGTGAATAATTCTTGATAAAATGTTGTTTTGGTTTTGTATTCATGCACAGAACAAAAAAAAAAAAAAGGTCACTTAGTTGCCAAGTGTCCTTCTGTAACCAAACGTGGATTATGGATGGATGGGGGCGGGGGATTTTTTTAGTAGGGCAGTATATAGTGTTGTGCTGCTGACCTCTCAACAGTCAGAAGGCTTCAATTATTTCTGCAAGGGCACTGGCTTGTTAGCCTGTGGTTCACAGTGCAAGAGTGCTGGGGATCTGTGGCTTGTTCCTAAAGACTCCACAGAAGGTAAGTGGAAAAAAGTATAAACCAATTGCTGGCAGGATTCAGTTCGACAGGAGCTTCCCCCTCTGAACATTTTAGGGGACTGCAAGATGGCAGAAAAAAAAATTTGAAAAACTGGTGGATTGTGAGAAAGCCAGGTGCATGTGCTAAAAAGATGTTTCTGCTGTTGAGTAGGTAGCTACAGATTAATGTGATCTTTCTTCCCTGTTCTACTGTATGGTTAGTCCCTTTTCTTCCAGCCATTTCTTCTGTCCGTTGCTACACAATGGGAATCGTTCCTCCCCTCCCCACCCTCATCCTGTCTACTCCTTACCTGATCAGTGTACAGAAGTGGAAGGCTCTGCTAATCTGAACACAACTATGTAGTCTTGATGTGACCTCGACACTGAATGACTTGCTGTAGGTGCTCAGCACAGTGTTATGAACTGCTATGTTGGCGCATCTATTTAAAAAAAAAAAAAAAATCCACCATGACATGAATTCAATGGTGGAACCCAAATTCTTCTCCTAGTCCTAACTATATGGATATGCATAAATTAACTGAGGGGGGAAAAAAAAGTCATAGGCAACTTCTGGGGGCAGGGCATATGCTATCTCAAGCAAGTTGGCAGAGTGGTTTAGTAGAGGCTCTTTCATAACCTAGGCCAGGAACGGTCCCGCAGCAGAAGGATGAATTTAAAAATAGCACTACAGACACTGCACGTAAAAAAAAAAATGTAATAGGATTTTTCTATTATAGCAATTCTGTCCTGAGTTGCATTTATTTCAAAAGACAATTTGACACAGTTCACAGCTCTGGAGTGCAAAAGGGCTACATGAAAAGTAGCAGTGGAAAATTATTCAACAACTTAAAAGCACAAATGAGAGAATTTACAGAAAAAAAGTTTCTAAAGCTTTAAAATCAGAAATAGTAAGAAAAACAGTAAGTCTAAGCCTAATACAGCCTATGAGTTTGCTCACTCTTAGTCAAAACAATAATGAACAACTTCAAACTATACAGTTATGGATATGTAGGAAGATGTTAAAACATCAGTGATAATCCACATATATATTGGAGGCTTGTGGTCATTGTGCCATGCTTACTGTTCCTGATCTAAAACAACTGATTTTCATTTAGCTGCGTGAAGGCTACAATAGGGATAGATTTGTTAGTGTGGTATTCTGTTAACCCTATGTTGTGATAAGCAACTTCAGTAACTGAATAAATTTGTCAAAGGACAGATAACAGATTTGTGTAGAACCTTCTAGAAAATGTGTTATTTTTAATGGAGAATTATTTGAGGAACATTATTTGAAACCGTAACTTAGTAACAGAGGCAGGCATCCTCCTGTCGTCTTTACCTAAGTCTAACTGTGTTATGAGGTGGGCTCTAGCAACACTGGCCGCGCTTACCAAGAACGAGTGACATGCCAATGTGCAGGCTCTGAAGCCCTTTCTGAGGACGGTAGCGGACCTCCGCAGCAGCTGATGACGCCTGCCCCCAGCTGGCTCAAGGAACCTGCCTGCTTAGGGGTCTTGAGGCAGGAAGCAGCAGAGGGAGGCCCTGAGCTTCCAGCTCTGCTCTCACTGCCCAGCCTCCTGAGGGACAGTGCCTGTCAGAGCCTGTCCAAAACGTGGGTTGCCGCTTGGGTCTGTGTGATGGTCACTGCTCAGAAGCTGATGTCCAAGGACAGGCAGAAGAGGATCTCTGTGATGGGGGGACACCTCCTGCCCCTGAGAAAGGTGAGGGCTGTAGTGGGTTGGATTCCAGGCAAGAAATGTTTTGGGTGCTGAAAAGAAAATTGTGAAGTGTTCCTAAAAGGTAACAGCTGTGGGTCTGTCAAATCCTGGTACTACATGCCAAAAAGCCAGCGTGCATAGTTGTGCTGGACAGGACATGCTGACTTATCACAATCCAGATCATTTTCTTGTAGATGTGTCTTGATGGAGCTGTTCCCTGCAAAGAGATGGCAGCCAAGCAGGAGGTTTACTCGAAATCTCCCTCTTCTCCCTGCTCTGTAAGTGCGAATATTTAGAAAGGCCATGAAGTAGGAAAATTGCTGTTGCACTGGTGATGTTTGTACTTGGGGTACATTGCTATAGATATGTAGCAACTGTGGCATAAATAGGCTTTGTGCTTTTACACTTGTTAGTTTGCATCTGCGCTGTTATACATAACAGGACCAAATTCACCCCTATGTCTACTCTATTTTTGATTTATTTTATTCTATAGCTGTGCCTCTAACTATCATAAGGTGCCTACTAAGAAAGGCAACGGAGCATTGTGTTCGCATATCCAGCATGTCTGTATGCTTGTCAGTTCAGACCCAAGCTTTTTCCAAATATTCTTTTGAGCTGAAATTCTCTATTCCTAATCTCCAGTCACAAATGATCTTTTAAGAAAGGAAAAAAGTGAACAAAACAAAAGCCAACCTTTGAGCTATTACTTTTTCACCTGTGGTCTAACGAAGCGATATATTTGCTCTGCACAAATGTCAATGACTAGAAGCGTGAAACTCAGTGAGGGCCCCTCCTCACTGAGCACTCTTAACGCTCAGCAGGAGAAACGCCCATTAATTTTAAAACGAAGAATATTAAAAGCTGTGTGCATGCTTGCTTTAGGCAAATTTTGTCTTCCCCACGGGAGCCCATGTGCTCGAAGCACAGGGGGACGCCCTGCGGCGCTCTCCTGTGTGCGCGTGGGCCAGGCCTGCGCACCTGGGGGGTGCAGGGGACCCCCCGCTCAGGCAGCAGGGGTGCTGTTTCGGCAGGGGGCGGGTGAGGGAGGCCACGGCGTGGCCGCCCTCGTGGCGGGGAGGGGGATGAACCCCTGGCTATGGGGCGGGGTGGCACCGCGGGGTGGGCCGGGTCTGTTCCGGGCTCCGGGCGGTCACAAAGCGGGGCGCGGCGGCGCCCGGCCGAGCGACGAACCCCTGGCCCTCTCCTACCGGCTGGAGATGGAGGGGCGGCCGCGGGTGCTGCACCTGCGACCCCGGAGGGGGCTGGTCTCCCGGTCCTTCACCTTGGTCACCTACGGGGAGGACGAGGCCCGCCAGGATGACGAGCCCTTCGTGCCGGAGGACTGCCTCTATCAGGGTGAGGTGCAGGGCAGCCCCGGCTCCCTGGTGGCCCTGAGCACCTGCTGGGGGGGCCTCCGTGGGGTGCTGTGGGTGGACGACAGCACCTATGAGATTGAGCCCGTCTCTGATGATCCGGCCTTTCGGCATGTCCTCTACCGCATGGAGGAGGCTGCCCATCCTACGGGGCCCACCTGCGGACTGACTCAGCAGGAGCTGTGGCGCCAAAAGGCCTTGTTGCCCCGGCTCCAGGTTGCCCGGGTGGAGGTGGAGGAGGACACGCTGCAGGGCTGGTGGACGCACACCAGGCACGTGAAGCTTGTGGTGGTCGTGGATCAAGTGCGATTTGTGAAGTCAGGTGGGAACGAATCCGAAGTCTTCAGGCAAGTCATGGAAATCATCAACCTTGGGGACTCTCTGTACGATCAGCTTTCTGTTGAGCTGTATCTTCTGGGACTGGAGATATGGACCAAAAATAATCTTATAAATATTACTAACTCTGTTGGCAAGACACTTGCAGAATTTAACAAATGGAGAAGGGCAAATTTGTCTCCACGGATGCGCCACGATGTTGCTCACTTATTTGCATTTCAGAGCTTTGGAAGGAGCTTGGGATTGGCATATCTGTCGTCCATTTGTGATGAACACTGGTCAGCAGCAGTTGAGTCCTTCACCAACAGGAAGTTGTCTGCATTTATTGTCACGTTTACCCATGAGCTGGGCCATAATCTTGGAATGCACCATGATGAAAAATACTGTAAATGTAGACGGAAGAAATGCATTATGCATGAAAGTGAGGCCAAAACGGATTCATTCAGTGACTGCAGTTACAGATACTACTTTGACCTGCTTGGGAGTGGTGGTGCCTGTTTGCGTCAGCCACCAGCACCCGGCAGTTTCTACACCACAAAGAACGAATATTGTGGAAACGAGGTAGTAGAAAATGGGGAGCAATGTGACTGTGGCTCAGAATCAAACTGCAGAAGGGATCGTTGTTGCCACCCTAACTGTACGTTGACTGAAGGTTCAGTTTGTGCCTCTGGAGAATGCTGCAAAGGCTGTCAGGTCCTTCCTGCAGGAACACTCTGCAGAACAAGTACTGGTGACTGTGACCTGCCAGAGTATTGCAATGGGACTTCCCCCTGGTGCCAGCCAGATGTGTACATACAAGATGGAGCCCAATGCAAGGATGGTGCCTATTGCTATCAAGGAAAATGTTCTTCCCACAGTAAACAATGCAAGCATCTCTTTGGCAAAAAAGCCAGGGCTGCTGCTTCAGATTGCTTCCGAACACTGAATACTCGAGGTGACCGGTTTGGAAATTGTGGTATTCATAAAAACATTCAATTTACAAAATGCAGTATTAAGAATATCTTATGTGGTAGGATCCAGTGTGAAAACATACACAGATTGCCATATTTGCGCAACCACATAACCATAATCCAAACCCCCATTGGAGATAAAAAGTGTTGGGGTATTGACTATCATGTAGGGATGCCTATGGCTGACATGGGGGCTGTGAATGATGGCACGCCGTGTGGTAGTGATATGCTCTGTATCAACAGGACGTGTACCAATGTGTCACTGCTGAACTATGACTGTAATGTGACGAAATGCCACAACAGAGGAGTGTGCAACAGTCGCAAGAACTGTCACTGCGATTATGGCTGGGCTCCTCCATATTGCGAATTGGAAGGACTTGGAGGTAGCATTGACAGTGGACCCCCTCCAGCCAAGGGGATTTTTCATAGAGCAAAAATAGGACTAATAGTACTTGGCATTCTTGTTCTCTGTGTCCTCGGAGCTACCCTTATCGTATGCTATAAACAGGAAATAGTGGAATGGTTTAGGAGGAAAACAGCTCGATTCCGCAGAAAAAAACAAGCAGTTGCTCCAAATGCTGGAGATCCCAGCAGTTCCTAAAAGAGAACACCTGCTAGTGAGTCAAAGTCCATCACAGAGCACTTACTGAAAGGCCAGCAAGCAGTAGGGTTGGACGCTCAGGGAAGAATCGCTGGTAGCCCTTGAGCCATGCCAGCTGCTAATTCATCAAAATGATTCAACAGGTTCTGAATAGTTGTAATCTCATGAAACATCATCAAATACAGGGTAAATGTTATCTTTATTTTAAGATAATAAATACAGGCAGTAAGGTTTCATGTTCTTCTTTTCTTTTCACCTTGAGCACTTAAACTGAGGTAGTTGGGCGAACAGTAGGTACAGCTTTATGCTCCATGTATCTCAACAGTTTACAAATGCAAACTTTTTGAAACAGGTGTGAAGAAGTGGAGGGTTGTGCTCCAGTTCATTCAAGGGTCTCTCCACTTCACAGTGAGTGATGTTTGTGAGCATCTTGCTTCTGTCATTCAGGAATAACCAAAGAGAGAAAAAAGTTACTCTTGCAGTCTTTATTTAATTCTCACCAGCGATGCCTGCCTCTGACTGGAATATCTGTTTCTTACTTGCCTGTGTATCTATGCTATAAACCCTTCCAGTGGTTTCCAGAGAGTCGTGTTTCAGGGGAGGTAGATTTTCAGGAACAGGTTCTTCGTTTTGTGCGACGGTAGAGAAGTACTATCCAAAGCAAGCTGGTAAACGTTGTGTTTCTGAACTGTAAGAAACACATCAAAAGTTTAGTGACATCATACCTCACATCTCACAAGAACAAGTTGTCTTTCTTTTGTGGAAACTTTTCAATAGAGTTGGGTTCTTCTAAAAGTGCTCTGTATTTTACCGTTGCTACGAGAAGCTGTCTGAGGCTGCACAAGTTAACTGGAAGCAGAAACAACTGCTGGGACCTAAAAGACGTGCAACTGTGCTGCAAATCTCCCACACCCACAGAATTCTTTCTATATTCGACAGATGTTTTATCGAACCATCCTGGGGGTTCTCTCACTTTACTATGCGATTTCTTTGTAAGCTATTGCTGAACGTGTCCTTGCAGACACGGTGGCTGCAAGAACAGAGTGGTAAGGACACACTGTAATTTTCACTTTTTTAACCAGAGGAAAAAATTATCTAAATTATGCAGAAGCATGAGGGATCTAGAGAAATATTCATTAAGTATTACTTTTATTGTTATAGCAGTGTCAAGATCCCTCGACCAGATCCATGTAAAGAGGAGTCTGTAGTCTAGACTTAAGCAAAAACTCTATTTTAAAGGATTACAGTTTCTGGATTAAGGGCTATAATGCATTTGTCTGCTACAAAGAGAATTATTCTTATTTATAAAGCAAATATAGTATTTTAGCAGACATTCTGTAAAGGCAGGATAAGTACCACACTTGCAATGTTTGGGAAGAAAGATGTTGGTGGCTCTAGAAATTTTTGCAGCTTCCCAAGTGTGATGCTTATGGTTTCTTTTCCTATATGTTTTTAAAAATGATTGTGTTCTGCATCCAAAAAGGACTGCTTACATATATATGATTGGATATGAAATGTAAAGGATATGATTTACAACTTGCCATGGCTTTTGTCTAAAGCAAGAGGGTCCTTAAATGGCTATCTATTTTTCTGTCTGGTGGAGAGGGGTAACACGTTGTTTGTTGAGCATGCCACGCTCGTTATCTTGATGCAACAGGGATGGTTTTGATTAGATGCAGAAAACTTAATCCTGTGTTTATGTCAAAATCAAAAGGCAAGATGAACACTCTTAGGCTGACACCCCAAACTTATGTCTTACAACCAGAGACCCATTTTTGGGAGGGAGGGAGGGAGAGAATATCTTTTTCCCAGAGAAATAATTATCTTATATCCCTTACTTCTTGCACTTCAATTGTGACAAACGAGAGGGGGATGTGGATTAGGTGAAGATGTAGATAAAAGTAACACAAGCACTCCACCCAGCACCTTCTCACCAGCTATGGACAACTTGTAAGTAATGGCAGATTGTTTTCCTTTTAACACAGATAAACATCAGTGGCAAAAGTCTTAGTGTGCCACCTTGACATCCTGCTGTTGTTGGCTAAAAGTATGAGTACTGAGTGTATGAGTATTGCAGAGCATAGACCCATGCTGAGACCTAAAAAACACCTCTGCAGTTAGTGCTCTTATTTACAGACACGCAGTACCACTGAAGAGATAGAGGCATAATAAAAGTAGAATTTAGGCTAGAAAGCTTATTTGCAAATGCAATTTTCAAAGAGACAAAGCAACAGAATGCTCTTTGTTTCCATGGTCGCTGTTTAAAGCTTGATCTAAAAGACATTAATGTTAAACGGGAGGCTTTCATCCAGCTTTCGACAGGACTGTTACTGCACACCCTTCTTCTATTTCTGCTTAGTCCATATAAACCAAGTCAAACATAAGTCCAGAAACCTAGTCTATGTCTTATAAAATACATATGCTCCCTCACTTAGATTTTTGTCCTTGAAAAAATTGTTGCTTCTGATTTCGACATAGCAGTGAATAACTTGATATTTCTGGTGGTTTATTAGAGGTGTGCTACTACTCTGTTGTGGTGTGAGGGTTCAGTCTTAATCTTTGGAGTTGTCACCTTTTTTTTTCCTCTAGTTTTAAATGCCTTTTTTAATGTTTTAAACGGATATGAGAAGCCAGTACTGTAACTTTTTTATTTAAATAGGTGTCCTGTTTTATCTGAACTGGCAAGCGTTAGAGTCAATGAAAGCTGCTGAGTGCTGGACACTTTTGAAAATCTGCTCCCTTGTTTAGGTGCTTATTTAGAGACTTGGAGGCCTAAACTCAGCCCAAAGTAAACCACTACCCATATCGACTCTTAAAAAAGGCACAGCTACGGTAATTTTACTTGCAAGGATCCTCTTGCTTCAGCAGTCCCCTCTGGCTAATTCCAAACATGATATGCCAACCTATACTTTGACCAGATGTCATATGCCTTGTCCGTCACCCAGTTACCATGTTGAGATTCAATGCAAGCTTTGACGAGAGGTCAGCCCTCTTCCCTGCATGTTGTTCAGTGCGAGTCTTGAGCTTTCAGCTTGAGCCCTGTCTAATCTCTCCTCCTAGAACCAGGCAAATGTCTGAGCTGCTTGGACATGGAAGAGGCAGCCTGAAAATGCTGCTGCTTCATTTCCCGGAAGGGGCGGTCAGTCTATTATAGAGTCTATTATAGTTTATATAGAGGTCAGTCTGTTATAAGAAACAATGCTGGAGGAAATTGTCTGATGGGGAAGGTGCGTGAAACAGTCTGTACCAGAACAGCAGGGTATTTATCAACTCTTAAGCAGGTGTTAACATGTACAGAACTAGTAGCGGTGGGTGAAGCCAAGAGCTGGCTAGGAATAAGCTAAAATGATGCTTTGCCCATGTTTCTTGTTTGAAATCTCTTCCCGGCTAAACAGGACCTTTACAGAACCTCTTAGTAATGCAGTCCTCTTTGGACCAGCAGATACCATGTTTTTTTTGTTCTGAACTAAGACTGTAAGCTTTAAAATACATCAAAACTGCTGCTAAAGGAACTGTATGCATCTTCAAGGAGTTTGCCAAGCACTGCATTAGCAGAACTTGAATCAGGAGAAAACATAAAACTACTATGACGGCCAGCGTACAAGGTTTCATTTTACAGTGCTCTTCACCATTATCAAAAACTGAAGGACTGGAATATGGATATCCAGCAGAGATGTATTCCAGGGCAGCATAATTGTGCAAACTGGACAAAAACAGGTGAGGAAAAATTGCACTTAACAGTTCAAGAAGTCCTCCTGAGACGCAGAAGTCACGGTTTCGCTTGTCCTTGCAGGTGTAACGGGGGTTCAAACGTCCATCTTCCACCTCCTAGGCTGCCGTCCTAACGCTCCGTAGAGGATGCGGCATTAACGGTGCGGCACCAGGGCAAGCGGCGTGATCCTTCTGTAACCCGGAGCACCCAGCAGAGGCCTCTCCCTGTTAAATTCAGGAATCCAGAAGCGCCGGCGGTCTTGGAAGGAACACGCTCACAAGGACTGATACTCCTTAGCGCGACACGCAGGAAGAGTGCTTTAGAGTAGCCATTGCAGCGGGTTTTGTCATATTTAAAACAAACAAAAAAAAAACAAACCAAAAACCCCCTGGTTGGCTCAAGAGCTGCCTGGTAGGTAGAGCGGGTGGCGGCTGGGCTAGGACAGGAGCAGCCGGGGGCGCGGCGGCCGCC